AATGACTGGGAGACACAGAGGAGCTAGACATAAAGTACTAAGAACCTTATATGTACATGCTGTGTCCCATTGTGGAATATGCTTCTGTCTCCCTGATTGCTACAAAGCCAAAATTAAGAGAAAAATTGGAGACAGTCTAAAACGAAGCCGCTAGGATTATTCTGGGTGCTCCAAGGTGGACGAAGGTCCTTAGCCTCCTCATGGAGGCAAACTTTCTCCCCTAAACTCACGAAATGATCTACTGGCAGCACAGTTCCTTTCAATGGTCATCCAGGAACCCAGGAATACAAGTATGAGAGAAAAAATAGTCAGATGCCCAGAACAAGATCACGAGCTCTTTGATACACCATCAGCTCAAAGACCAATTACTTGCCAAGGGCATGGACTCCCCAACCCTGACTTTACTGAAGGCCTGCTATAGGCACAAACCTCTGCTATGAGCTTGTCAAGGAGAAAGAATGCCCCATGCCTAGTGTAAAGGCAGAAGCCGAGAGGGTCATTGCAGTCATCACTCCTCCGGGTAGTACTTCACGGATGGATCAGTTGATCCCCTAAACCACACTGCAGGCACCGGCTTTGCAGCAAGGGATCCCACAAAATCCATGAGGGTAACAGACAACGCCTCCTCGCTACAGGCAGAGGCAATTGCGATCATGGGAGACCTAGCCCACGCATCCCTGAGGGAAGGACACATGGTCGTACATGCAGACTCCAGGACAGCCATTGACTGTCTACAGCACAGCTCACCCAAAGACAACATCTACCTTCTGACCACTGTGCTTACCATAGCACAGAGGATTCTCGCTTAGGGTAAAAGAAGAATCATAAACTGGATCCTTAGCTACAAAGGCATCAGAGGGAATGAGCTTGCTGACAGGCTAGCCGACAATGGCAGAAGTGCAATGCTGAAGCTCATGCCTTCTTCCTTCACAGAGAGGAAACGAGATCCTCCCTCTCGGCCAGATGGTATTCAGACGCCACAGGTTATGAGCCACTGGCACTCTCTGAAACAAGCAATAGAAGTACCGAAGCCATTTTTCACAGAGTCAGACTAGGTTACCATTGCATATGGCAGATCGAAGAGACAATAGACTATACAGAGAGGTGTTGCATGCATTGTGGCGAACCGAACGCCACCCTGGTACATTACTTGTGAGCACACACAATTTCTGAGACAGGGACCCCCCACAACAGCCGAAGGGGTAGTAAAGCGTTTATGCTGTATCTTTTCACCGTAGCGGCAGGAGCGCCTGCTAGCAATCCTGCCACCACGGTAAGCATCAAGTGTCAGAAAATAAAATGAGACAGCAATAAATAGCTGACACACGCCGGGCTATATGTATAGAACGCCCAGGCGAAGGTAGATCTGCTCAAACCTCAAATGAATGAATGTATGGGGCAGATCTCTCCCGCCAGCCGAATTAACAACAACTTTCCAGCAGTGCGGGGAGACGTCTCACCAGTCTTGCGGCTCGTGAGGCCGCCGGCAGCTGACCTTCCTCGGGGGCCTCAACCTACCCGTTAGGACGACAAAGAGTGGGGAGCTGGCTTGCCACCTGTATCTGCCCTTAGAGGAGGGACGGTAGCGGTGTCAGCCAACGTTGCCATCGGCAGCAGTCGGCGACTCGTGGAGAGGAGGATGGAGAGGTTCCTGACGTCGGCCCAGGAGTATCCCAGGAGGGGTTATGAGTTCCGGGGCGTGCAAGCCAGACGTCGGTCGGACATGGTTCAATGATCCACCAAATCATCGAGGTGGACGCGGTCCCTTACAGTTGCCTCCTGGGAGGACAATACTTTTGGTTACCTAGCTGCACACAACTGGCTGTCTTCGGCCTTTTTGACTATCACTTCATCCCTACTAAATCAAGTAGGTATTACCCTCAACTTAATACTCGCCCTTTCACTTCACCCCTCACTTCCATAAGCATAGCTAGCGAATGTTTTCATCTTCATCATCACCATAACTATGTATGGAGGGTTTATGTCCCGCAGAAAAGGAGACACTCTAAAACAAGCAAGCAGTGTATTCCACCTCAATCTGCCCCATGCCAATATCCCCAAGCCCTCCACCATCGCCGGAATCAGAAATGAGCAGTAATAAAAATAATCTTTAGTAAAGCCCAGTTTTAGGTATTGTACGTATGAAATAGCATTTGGAGTAGGGAGTGTAAGAGCAAGAGAAAAAAAGAAGATACAAGCCTCCCTTCACCAAATGTATCGTATCAACAACGAATAAGTAAGGATTGTTTCGCTCTCGGTATAAAACATTGAGAACGAAGATAGAATTGGCTAGTAGAATAAAGAAAAAAAGACAAAATAAGATGCAAACTCATACAAGGGACCCCGAATCCAAGGAGGGATCCCCTAGCTCGTTAACTAAGACCAAAAATAATCTCACTGTAAACAGATTCATCGCTTTGCTGAAAACTAATGCCGATGACTTTATAAATGCAGAAACCTTACTTAACCTGTGAATGTCATTATTACTTTACATGTTCCCACAACGACACCAAATCTTTGAATAATAGCACACAGTCCTGTTAAATGCATCATTCCACGTACCGACGGCCTAGAAATATGGATTCGGAGCTTGACCGAGACGGTTGCCTCGTGAAAGAAGGGAGTCAATATTATGCAACATATTATTGCGTGGGACACCATCCGACGAAAGTCTTTGTAAACACATGATTCCGTTTGCATGAAAATTTAAAAACCGTGGAAAATAATATTAAAACGGCGTATGTACTAGTGCCCACCCATAGTTACAACCTTAGGCAATTGTATTCATCTGTCGTTGCTCTTTGGTACCCAAAAGATACCAGCTACCTTTGCAACAAAACAAAACGCACATGAATATTATCTTATCCAACAGCCCTGATCATAGTACTATCACCACCTTCGTAAAACAAAAAAGGAGACAATAGATAAGATTAAAAATAATGCTCCTAAGAAAAAAAAATCATGTGAACCCGAGCTCTTCTACAGCTCCATCACTGCGGGCGTCGTTACTAACCTGTGGAGCGAATTATGTTCAGCCCACTTTAGTTCAGCTTTGTCAGTCAGTGCTCGTAATATCATCATTATCCTGCTCATTCCTATTCTGATTAAAATACGCCATCATTCAAATTAAAATACGCCATTAGAATTTAAATTAAAATGCGCTACTAAAATCAAAATTAAAATACGCCATCATTAAAATTAAAATACGCCATTAAATTTAACATTAAAATACGCCATTAAAGTACGCCATCAGTTCACTTTCTGAAGTCCTTTACTTCCAAATTAAGTCGTCATTAATTTACAAAGGTGTAGTAAAGAGCTAAAAGTGCATAACAGTAAAAAATAAAAAATTGTGCTTGAAGATATTAATGTTAAAATCCGAAACTTTACGAAATATACTTTGTGGTTATTATTATCATCAGTATGTTATCATTATTATCATTATTTATTATTATTATTGATGATAATCTTTTAGTTGCTGTTATCATTGTAAGAACCATTATTGCAAATATTGTTTTCATTATTATTATTATTATTATTATTATTATTATTATTATTTATTGTTATTATTATTATTATTATTATTATTATTATTATTATTATTATTATTACTATTATTATTATTATTATCATTATTATTATTATTATTGTTATTATTATCATCATCATCATTATTATTACTATTATTATTATTATTGTTATTATCATTATTATTAATATTATTATTATCCTTATCGTTATTGTTGTTGTTATTATTATTATTATTATTATTATTATTATTATTATTACAATTATTATTATTATTATCATTATTATTATTAATGTTGTTGTTGTTGTTATTGTTATTATTATTATTATTATTATTATTATTATTATTATTATTGTTATTATTACTATTATTGTTATCATTATTATTATCATTATTGTTATTGTTACTATTGCTATTATCATCATTATTATCACTATTATTATTACTATTATGATGATGATGATGATGATGATGATGACGAAGACGACGATGATGATGATAATGTTGTTGTTAACATCATAATAACTATAATTGTCGTTTCTATTGTTATTGTTATTATTGTTATTGTTATTGTTATTATTATTATTATCAATATCATTATTATTGTTGTTGGTGGTGGTGGTGTTGATATTTTTATCATCATTATTATCATCATTATTATTCCTATTACTGTTATTATTATCATTATCATTATTATCATTATTATTATGATGATGAGGATGATGATGGTTATCATTATTATGAGAAGTGTGCATTTCCTTTCAAGGATCCCATTTGGTTACCATATTTGACGAAAAAGCTATCAGATGATATTTATTTCCCCTCCTTTTTCGGCTAGTGACTAAAACTTTTACGAAGCGACAGTGAGGTTGTTGAATACAGAGAATTATGAAGGGCAAAGTAAAATTGATATGCCTTATTTTTGCACCTCAGTAAGAAGATAACAAGAGAAAAAATTTATGTTCTGTTTAACTGAGTGCTTAACATTCCACTGCATACTTACGAGATGTATGTCTTATGATTTTTAAGGCACTAGAACTCATTCAATTTTGTTAAGACTTTGGCTCAGTCCAATGATATAGCCGATAGTATCTTATCGAAAAGATACAGAAGTTTTATCTTGTTGCAGCAAAGATCACATTATGCCTTTGATACGTAAAGAAGCTTAAATGAATTGATAAAGGATAAAAGTATAGATATATATGACGATTGAATATACAGTAAAATGAATTATTTCATCAATGAAATCAGTAAAATAGTTAGATAGATGAATTAATAGAAGAAGGATTAAAAAGGGGATAAAACTAAAAGATATAGATAATATTTTTTATAATAATAAACCTCATAGAAACTCCAAGAAGAGTAAAAGTATATTTATTATATTTTTATTTACAAATCTTTAGCTTGTAGATCATGGCGTTTGGCAGCTAAAATCGACCTTGATCCCCACTTCTTGCCGGTTCCCTCAGTC